CTTTAAGACAACCTTACCTAGGGGGGAGGAGCTAAGATGGCAGAGGAATAGGACAGGGAGACAACTTTCTCCCCTACAAATTCATGGAAAGAACATTTGAATGCTGAGCAAACTCCACAAAACAACTTCTGATCACTAGCAGAGGACATCAGGCACCCAGAAAAACAGACCATTGTCTTCAAAAGGAGGTAGGACAAAATACAAAAGATAAAAAGAGAGACAAAAGAGCTAGGGATGGAGACCCATCCCGGGAAGGGAGTCATAAGTTTCCAAACACCAGGAAACCCTCTCACTAGCGGGTCTGGGGGAAGTTTTCGAGTCTCGGAGGGCAACCTAACTGGGAGGAAAAATAAATAAAATCCACAGATTACATGCTCAAAAGCAACTCCCAGCAGAAAAGTACCTCAGACGCTCGCATCTGCCACCAGCAAGTGGGAGCTGAATGGAGAGCAGCGGGCGGCATTGCTTAGGGTAAGGATGGGGCCTGAATGCCCTGAAGGCAATTGGAGAGAGCTAATGTGAGATAGCAACTTAAACTGTGGGATAGCAAGAGAGAAAGAAGATTAACTGGCGAAAAGCACGCTAACCGAACACACTGCCGGCCTTTTGCAGAACAAAAGAAAGACTGAGCAATTCCAGAGAAGAGCTAGCTGGCGGCGGACCAGCCCCTCCCCGCCGGAGGCAGGAGGCAGGGGGGAAGGGAAAGGGGAAACTCAGCCCCAGAGACTGCATCCCCTACCAAACTGCAAACAGGCTTCCAGTTTCTAACCAAAGACTTCCTGAGATTCTGGATGGTTGACATCCACCGGGAGGGTTGCAGCTAGAGACCAGCTCCCCAGAACAGACACAAGGTGCACCAGACCAGCGCAAGCGCGCACGCGCCTGCACGGAAACTGAGGCTGGAACCACGGAGGGGATAAGGTGCACTGCACCCGGGGAGAGTGCGCTCATCAAGTTCCTGGCTGCCTGAGCTGTTCGGGCTGGGGAAGGCACAAAACGCAGTCCCAACCGAGTCTGCGCTCTTGTGGAGTACCCGAAAACTGGAACCGCAGGCAACACAGGACCCTGCTCCCTATAGAGCAGCCTGGAGCCTGAGCAGTATAGACGGGGAAAGCACACACGCCCGCGATGGGGGGCAAACCCAGTGTTGCCGGAACACTGCAGGTCCTCCCCACACAGGCCAGTGACATTTGTCTGCAGCGCCCCTCCCTCTCCGCAGCACGACTGAACAAGCGAACCTAAACAAGAGACCACCTCCACCCGCTTGTGTCAGGGCGGAAATTAGACACTGAAGAGACCGGCAAACAGAAGCCAAATAAACAAAGGGAACCACTTCAGAAGTGACAGGTGCAACAGATTAAAATGCCTGTAGTTAACACCGACTACACCGCAAGGGGCCTATGGATATCCAGAAGTGTAAGCTGGAACAAGGAGCTATCTGAAACTGAACCGAACCCACACTGTCCACAACAGCTCCAGAGAAATTCCTAGATATATTTTTACTATTTTTTTGTAATTAAAAAAATTTTTTTTTCTTTTCATTTTCTTTCTTTTATTTTCTTTTAAAATTCCCTATTACTCCCCTATTACTCCTTAATTTTCATTTTCTTTTATGTTCTTTTAAAGTCCTCTATTACTCCTCAATTTTCATTTTCATGTTTTTATTATTTTTTAATTAATTTTTTCTCTTTTCTTAATTTTTTTTCTTTTATTTCCTTTTAAAGTCCTCTATCACTCCTCTATTACTGCTTAATTTTCATTTTCATTTCACTATAACCTTTGAGGAACATACTTCAACATAATAAAAGCTATATATGACAAACCCACAGCAAACATTATCCTAAATGGTGAAAAATTGAAAGAGTTTCCCTTAAAATCAGGAACAAGACAAGGGTGCCCACTCTCACCACTACTATTCAACATAGTTTTGGAAGTGTTGGCCGCAGCAATCAGGGCAGAAAAAGAAGTAAAAGGAATCCAGATAGGAAAAGAAGAAGTGAAACTCTCTCTGTTTGCAGATGACATGATCCTCTACATAGAAAACCCTAAAGACTCTACCAGAAAATTACTAGAGCTAACCAATGAATATAGTAAAGTTGCAGGGTATAAAATTAACACACAGAAATCCCTTGCATTCCTATACATGGACAATGAGAAAACAGAAAGAGAAATTAAGGAAACAATACCATTCACCATTGCAACCAAAAGAATAAAATACTTAGGAGTATATCTACCTAAAGAAACAAAAGACCTATACATAGAAAGCTATAAAACACTGATGAAAGAAATCAAAGAGGACACAAACAGATGGAGAAATATACCGTGTTCATGGATTGGAAGACTCAATATTGTCAAAATGGCTATACTACCCAAAGCAATCAACAGATTCAATGCAATCGCTATCAAGCTACCAATGGTATTCATTGCAGAACTAGAACAAATAACTTCACAATTTGTATGGAAATACAAAAAACCTTGAATAATCAAAGCAATTTTGAGAAAGAAGAATGGAATTGGAGGAATCAACCTGCCTGACTTCAGGCTCTACTACAAAGCCACAGTCATCAAGACAGTATGGTACTGGCACAAAGACAGAAATATAGATCAATGGAACATAATAGAAAGCCCAGAGATAAATCCACGTACCTATGGACACCTTATCTTCGACAAAGGAGGCAAGAATATACAATGGAAAAAAGACAACCTCTTTAACAAACGGTGCTGGGAAAACTGGTCAACCACTTGTAAAAGAATGAAACTAAAACACTTCCTAACACCATACACAAAAATAAACTCAAAATGGATTAAAGATCTAAATCTAAGACCAGAAACTGTAAAACTCCTAGAGGAAAACATAGGCAAAACACTCTCTGACATAAATCACAGCAAGATCCTCTATGACTCACCTCCCAGAATATTGGAAATAAAAGCAAAAATAAACAAATGGGACCTAATGAAACTTAAAAGCTTTTGCACAACAAAGGAAACTATAAGCAAGGTGAAGAGACAGCCCTCAGATTGGGAGAAAATAATAGCAAATGAAAAAACAGACAAAGGATTAATCTCAAAAATATACAAGCAACTCCCACAGCTCAATTCCAGAAAAATAAATGACCCAGTCAAAAAATGGGACAAAGAACTAAACAGACATTTCTCCAAGGAAGACATACAGATGGCTAACAAACACATGAAAAGATGCTCAACATCACTCATTACCAAAGAAATGCAAATCAAAACCTCAATAAGGTACCATTACACGCCAGTCAGAATGGCTGCTATCCAAAAGTCTACAATCAATAAATGCTGGAGAGGGTGTGGAGAAAAGGGAACCCTCTTACACTGTTGGTAGGAATGCAAACTAGTACAGCCACTATGGAGAACAGTGTGGAGATTCCTTAAAAAACTGGAAATAGAACTGCCATATGACCCAGCAATCCCACTTCTGGGCACACGCACCGAGGAAACCACAATTGAAAGAGACATGTGTACCCCAATGTTCATTGCCGCACTGTTTATAATAGCCAGGACATGGAAGCAACCTAGATGCCCATCAGCAGATGAACGGATAAGAAAGCTGTGGTACATATACACAATGGAATATTACTCAGCCACTAAAAATAATACATTTTAATCAGTTCTAATGAGATGGATTATACAGAGTCCATTATACATGGATTATACAGAGTCCATTATACAGAGTGAAGTAAGCCAGACAGATAAAGACCAATACAGTATAATAATGCATATATATGGAATTTAGAAAGATGGCAACGATAACCCTATATGCAAAACAGAAAAAGAGACACAGATGTATAGAACAGACTTTTGGACTCTATGGGAGAAGGCAAGGGTGGGATGATCTGAGAGAACAGCATTGAAACATGTATATTATCAAGTGTGAAGCAGATCGCCAATCCAGGTTGGATGCATGAGACAAGTGCTCGGGGCTGGTGCACTGGGATGACCCAGAGGGATGGGATGGGGAGGGAGGTTCAGGATAGGGAACACATGTAAATCCATGGCTGATTCATGTCAACGTATGACAAAAACCACTACAATACTGTAAAGTAATTAGCCTCTAACTAATAAAAATAAATGGAAAAAAAAAAAAAAGACAATCTTACCTAAAGGGTTGTCCTTTTTCTATAAATTTTTAGTCATCAATTTCTATCTATAATATAGTGTTTAAGAGCTATGTAATTAGTATATAGTATAATAACTTTTATGAACTTTTCGAGTTTAAAAGCTCAAATTGATCGAGTAAAGAAAAAGATTTCAAAAATATATAACCAAGAGAAAAACACACCCAAGCATTTACAGTTGTCCATATAATTAATTATAAAGTATAAAATTATTCCAAGCTGTATCTAAAACTCTGCGAAAAAAGTATACAGATACCTAATGGATAGGTATTTTCAAATCCAAAGAAAACATAGTGATGTGGTTTGCATCTCATTTTTTCACATAATAATGATTGTGATTTTTTTTTTTTAATCCACATTATCTTACAAAATTTACCTTGGGAAAACTGGAGTATATGTATAAGAAGCTGGTCACATTTAGATTTTCAATTTGAGGATACAAACAGGAAAAATCAATTTACTTACCCAAGGAACAAATTCACAGCTTTGGCCTTATCACAACAGTGTTCTAATCAAGTAGGCAATGTATGAATTCACAGCTGACTCAGTTGTCTTGGAAACTAACTTATCAAATTAAGTTAAATCTCTATTTCTCTCTTCAACACTGCCTATATTTTTGGTGGCACGTATCTTCAGAATATTTAAGAGGGGGGATTGGGGGATAATAACTTAATGAATTTTCCATTATATCTCAAATTTCCATTGAAAGTAGTATCATACAAGCAAATGTTATTTAGCTGCTTAAATTATACACAAAATGATGTTTGTTTATGTGCTTTTTCTTTCTTGGCTGCTTTCTAGTTTTGCATGAAACCAACTGGCTTTAAAGAAAGAAAAGAGATTCACATTATCTCTTACCAGACCCATGAAAAGGCCAAAAATCAAGGTGGCTATCACGAAAAAGAAGTAAGAACACCAAGCAGGAACTCCAAGGGTCACTGTGAAATAGTTGTGAAGATGCTGTAATCAGAAGAAAAAAGTTAAAAAAAAACCCACATATTTAAAGAGAACTAAAAATATTTGAATCTCCCTCTTTACCACTTCACTCAAGTCTACAATTCTATTTATATGAGCTCCCACAAAGATCATCCAGGGGATTATGCATCTATATTATTTTTCAAGAGCAAATCAGATTTTATAACACTGAGAATCTGAGAGTCAAAATCAAGATCGTATCTAGTAAGAGTTATACTTCCTTGAAGCTAATGACCAAACAGAACTCTGGTAGGATTGTTTATCCTTCTTCCATCATGAGTTTTTTTTTGGTCACTATCCCCTAATAGCTTATATACCTTAATATTCATAATATGATATCCATAGAAAATTAAAGTTTTTTTTAAAAAAATTGGGCCTTTATCAATTTTTAAGTAGAACTAAGTTACTGCTTATGGAACATCAACCATTTAAATGTTTCCATACTTCCTTTTTCTAGTCATATTCTTATTGCTCGACACCCAGCCCTCCTTTACAAATTTCCTAATCACCATAAAACCTACATGTAATAATATAAGACATTTTTCTGTTAATTCATTATGAGCAAATAAGATTTCATCAGTCTTTGAAGAAAGTGCACATCCCTTCTTGTTTACTATCCCCGGGACTCTATTTTTCACTCAAACAGTAAAAGTGAGTAAGGAGATACAATCTGAGCCAGAAGTACCACATGCAAAATCATACAGGAATTACAGATATGAACCCGCTAGTGTGAAATCAAAGCCCATTTAGACATGGACTTGAAGGAGCTATGTTGCCTCATGATGGCTTTGTGATCATCTATTTTAGGCCCTTTTAGCTTCAAAAAAATTCACTAAAAAGCCAATAGTTTTATGATATTTTTATGTCTATAGATAGGTTATCTACAGAATTACTGGGCACAGGACGAAATGGCTCCAAACTAAATGCCACCTGCAAACAGAAATAATGACTGAATGACTTCCCCAGAACTGATGAGGTTAACAAAAACTAGCCCAAGATTCTCTTTAAATATTTCTCAAAATCAAAGTTACTCAAGTATCTCCCACTGGCTTCTCAGTTTGTAACTGTCAATACAATTACATAATATATCTGATCCTGGCTTAACTTAGAATGAACAAAACAGACTGCTAACTGATCTAGAGCCGTCTGAGATCTCTTCTCTCTGACTGTTCACTCAGCAGTAGATACACATCTAAAGACTCCTCAAGTTTTTAAATACTGACACATGTAATCAAAGTGTTCAATAAATAGTTATTGAATAAATAAAATACACCAGCAAATCTTTAAACTATTCACAGGAATGCACACAACTCCTGACTTATAAAACTGTCATCTGTCTTCTGTTGATGGCACTGGTCATTGCTTTATCTTCAACCAGGACAACTATCTAAGAATAATCTAGTACTCTCTAGCCCAAGTAGGCAAAAGAGATATTTAGGATATAAAAGGTTGTTTTGCTCAAACTCTGTTCAGTGGAAGTTTTAAGATGCATTGTACAGTTCTATAGGAAATTTGGCATATTGAACATAGCTTATTTATGCTTATCTTGATTATTCAATGTCATCATCAAAATTAAACTCTGAAATGAGCCAAGGAATTAGAAGACATGAAAGCCAGGGTGCATCTGTGCTGACCCATGGACATATGAATTCTGTAACTTGTTTTATTAGTACCTGCTCATATAGTTGGAATGAATAACACATCCAGTTATAAGTCCATCTGGACAGTGTCTTAAGCCCTTTTGCAAAACACATGATTTAAGAAATGCTTAAGAAATTTTCTCATTTATTTTCTAGGATTCAGTAAATGATGTGCCTTTGAATCACTGCATTGAGTCATATTCTCAGTGCATTCAAAAACATCCTCTTACAGGTTCCACTTCAATTTTCTTGTACTGGCATACTCTTTAAGGGATTTGCTTGAGCTTCTTAGAGAAACTCTGCCATCTTGTGGTCTTTCTAGGTGATTACTAAAAAATTACTAAAGCCTCATTAATCAAGTTGTGTTTTCAAAACTGCAGCCACAAATCTTTATCGTTTACTTTGTCTGAGTCCACAATGGTTTCAGAGTACCTTTAAGACTATTAGGGTTCCTGTACTAGGCACATGAAGTTTCCTGTAAACATGTTTCCAAGTAATAACTGATTAAACCCGATTTTAGATTTCTGTGTTTGTTTCTTTGCCAGGCAAAGTAACTTTTCACTTGTGGAAAATACTGACCCAAGTTCAATATTATATGTGCTCATTACAAGGAAGCATCATATTATTTCCTTAAAATGCATGCAAATGTCACCTGCTGGGCCCAATACCTTATAATATTATATTTTAGTACTAGGTGACTAAATTAGAGCTAATTTTTAGCTATAAACAGATTAGAATGAGAGGACTAGATGAAGACACTGTTTACAGCAGGAAAAAAGGGGGACATTATAACCAGTGGTCAGATGGATTTGAGGAATGGAGCCAGGATAAGGTGTCCAAGGTTCAGAGGTGGAGCATTTTATAAAATTCGCTCAAAACATAACAAAAAAGTTGAAAGTTGAAAAAAATAATTCCAGGTAGGTGCTAACCAGAAAGAAAAAATTACAGTATTAATATTAGACAAAATGACCTTATAGAATGTAAATGCAATTGCTATGTGTCAAATTTTACAATTTCTTATAAAATTTTATACAATTTCTTAAAAAATTAAACTTTTCGTTCTTTTAAAGAAAGTCTGGAAAGTCCAAAAATATATATATATACACACTGTACTTCTCAATCACTAATAAGAACATATTAATTGGTTATTCAGAGATGGATCATGTTCTGTTCTTTAAACGGCCTTTTCTCTGCAGTCCAATGCATTCACACAGAATCCATCCATGCTAAACAAGGCTGTGCCCTGTGCCTACAGAGATAAAACAGCAACTCCTGGCCTTGATGTGCTCCAAATGCCACACACTGAAATCATTTGCATGACATAATGAAAAATGGCAACTCCTTGTTATTAGTCAAGCTATAAGAGGTTTGAAAAATTATTTATTTTCCCTGTACTGTCTTTGAAAAGAAAACTACTTTATAACAATGTATGAGGGTCACAATTAATTTCCATCTAATCTCTTTTTAAGGCTTCCCTGATAGCTCAGTTGGTAAAGAATCCTCCTGCAATGCAGGAGACCTCGGTTTGATTACTGGGTCGGGAAGATCCACTGGAGAAGAGGTTCCAGTATTCTTGGGTTTCCCATGTTGCTCATCTGGTAAAGAATCCGCCTGCAATGCTGGAGACCTGGGTTCGATCTCTTGGTTGGGAAGATCCCCTGGAGAAGGGAAAGGCTACCCACTCCAGTATTCTGGTCTGAAGAATTCCACAGACTGTATAGTCTATGAGGTCGCAGAGTCAGACATGACTGAGCAACTTTCACAATCTCTTCTTAACCCTCAGAACAAATTCTCTCCTGATCTGCAGTTGTAACAGATTCTGTACTAAGCTTTTGAAGATTCCTGACACCTATTACAATTATCCTGTTGGTTTAGACAATATATGGCTATAAGGTTTTCAGATAACTATCAAAATATATGACTCCTAAATATATTTAGTGTCAAATATTGCAACAGGCTGAATCCTTACTCTTAGTTCCTGGTTTGCAATTCAAAATTCTGAACCTTTGAATAAACTTCTCACCAATAAAAGAAAATATCAGAAGAAAACCAAATGAAACTCAAACTATATGAAAAGAGGAAAAATGCTAGTTATTTTTTAATATGATATACAAATGTCAAAAAAAGACAATTAACAGAATTTAAACAAAAAAGATTAAGTTCAAGTCACCAATTTATTTTCTGTTGCCAAAGGAAAAAAAAAAAAAACCTTAAGTAGGTATATCTCAAAAAGCAAAAAGTATAATACAACTGAAAAACTGAGAGGCAAAAGTTCTTTTCAAATTTCTCCAAGCATATACCAATATGAACAAAAAGCAGAGTTTTCATGAGCTCCATGAACTGTTGTTGTTCAGTCATTCAGTCATGTCCGACTCTCTGCAACCCCATGGACTGTAGCACACCAGGCTTCTGTGTCTTTAACCAAGTTCTGGAGTTTGCTCAAACTCATGTTCATTGAGTTTGTGACGCCGTCCAACCATCTCATCCTCTGGCATCCCCTTCTCCTCATGCTTTCAAACCTTCTCAGAATCAGGGTCTTTTCCAATGAATTGGCCCTTCGCATCACGTGGCCAAAGTATTGGATATTCACCTTCAGCATGAGTTCTGCTAATGAACATTCAGGACTGATCTCCTTTAGGACGGACTGTTTGGATCTCCTTGCAGTCCAAGGGACTCTCAAGAGTCTTCTCCAACACCACAGCTCAAAAGCATCAATTCCTGAGCACTCAGCTTTCTTTATAGTCCAACTCTCACATCTATACATGACTTTGTATGGAAAAACCATAGCTTTGACTAGACGGATCTTTGTTGGCAAAGTAATGTCTCTCCTTTTTAATATGCTGTCTAGGTTAGTCACAGCTTTTCTTTCAAGGAGCAAGCATCTTTTAATTTCGTGGCTGCAGTCACCATCTGCAGTGATTTTGTACTTGTTTCGATTGTTTCCCTGTCTATTTGCCATGAAGTGATGGGACCAGATGCCATGATCTTCATTTTTCGAATGTTAAGTTTTTTTTTTTTTGAATGTTAAGTTTTAAACCAGCTTTTTCACTCTCCTCTTTCTCCTTCATCAAGAGGATCTTTAGTTCCTCTTTGCTTTCTGCTAAAAGGGTGGCATCATCTGCATATCTTGAGGTTACTGATATTTATCCCAGCAATCTTGATTCTAGCTTGTGTTCATCCAGCCCAGCATTTTACATGATGTACTCTGCATATAAATTAAAGAAGCACGGTGACAATATACAGCCTTGATGTACTCCTTTCCCAATTTGGAACCACTGTGTTGTTCCATGTCTGGATTTAACTGTTGCCTCTTGACTTACATACAGATTTCTTAGAAGGTAGGTAAGGTGATTTGGTATTCCCATCTCTTTAAGAATTTTCCCCAGTTTGCTGTGATCACACAGTTCAAGGCTTTAGCGTAGTCAGTGAAGCAGAAGTAAATGTTTTTCTAGAACTCCCTCGCTTTTTCTATGACACAACGGATGTTGGCAATTTGATCTCTGGTTCTTCTGTCATTTCTAAATCCAGCTTGAACATCTGGAAATTCTCGGTTCATGTACTGTTGAAGCATGGCTTGGAAAATTTTGAGCATTACTTTGCTAGCATGTGAAATGAGTGCAATTGTGCAATAGTTTGAACATTCTTTAGCATTGCCTTTCTTTGGGATTGGAATGAAAATTGCCCTTTTCCAGCCTTGTGGCCACCGCTGAGTTTTTCAAATTTGCCAGCATGTTGAGTGCAGCACTTTCACAGCATCATCTTTTAGGATTTGAAATAGCTCAGCTGGAATTCCATCACCTCTACTAGTTTTGTTCACAGTGATGCTTCCTAAGGTCCACTTGACTTTGCAATCCAAGATGTCTGGCTCTAGGTGAGTGATCATACTGTCATGGTTATCTGGGTCAGTAAGATCTTTTTTGTATAGTTCTTCTGTGTATTCTTTCCACGTCTTGTTAATATTTCCTTGAATATTAAGTTCCAAATATGACAAATGATGTATAATCATAACTTAGAAAAGACAAATACAGGAAGGTAATCACATCTAAAGATCTTTTGAAATACTTTAAAAATATATACTTAATTCCCTGGCAATTTTGTCAAATCTGGCAGGATTTAGATCACGCTACATGTAGAGATGAGGAAAGGTTACATGACACATTCAATATTATGTAAAAGTTCAGCATTTTAACCTAAATAACAGTTCTAAGTTACTAAGACTCAGTGAAATGATACAATCACACATAGCAGCTTCCCAGGTGGCTCTAGTGGTAAAGAACCTGCCTGCCAATGCAGGAGACGTGAGACATGAGTTTGATCCCTGGGTCAGGAAGATCCCCTGGAGAAGGTGATGGAACCCCACTCCAGTATTCTTGCTGGAAGAATCCCATGGAAAGAGAAGTCTGGTGGACTACAGTACATGGGGTCACAAAGAGTCAGACATGACATTGTTTGAGCCACATAAAAGGGGCTTGAAAATTTTTCCTTAAAGGGCTACATCATGAATACATATTTAGGCTTGTGGGCCATATGACCTCTGTCATAACAACTCATCTCTATCACTGTAGTACGAAAGCAGTCACAGAAAATAGGTAATAAGTGAATGTGACTGTGTTCCAACAAGACATTATTAAACAAGACAGGCAGCCCAGCCTGCCCACAAGCTGAAGTCTGCTGATCCCTAACAGATTTTCGATCTGTAGGGAGGTTATGACAACGAGAAATAAGAGGAAACCACAGAAGCCCTTTCAGCTTTGACAAAGGGATTCACTACTGATCTATGAAAATATGACTTTGGTCTTTTGGTCCATGTTCAATTTAAGTCCTTCTACACAAAGACACATTCCCACTACGACTCCAGGTAAGAGTAGTTGTGTGGCTTAAGAAGAAAAGTGAAATTATAAAACCATTTATAAGTATTCATTTTCCTATTATTTAGAAACTACCTTCTCACTCTTAAAAACCCCTCTGCTGATATAATCATAAAGGGCCTTATTTACTCACCCATATCTTGCCAGAGATGCTAAAAAGACCAGCCATTCCAGACATCCTAAAAAAAAATAAAGGCAAGGAGAACCACTGGTGATGGATAGCATAAAAACAAACAAACAAACAAAAACCTCAAGTCACAAGGACTATTCCTCCACTTTGTGCAGTACATCATCCTCTCTCCTGGATTCTCTTTCCTTCTGACAGAGCTTAGACCCCAGGGCCGTGTTCTGGATTAGTCAGGAGTAAACGCAGTCAAGTCCGCTGGTGCTTTCTCGCTGCATGGTGCATGCCTGGCAACATCCCTAACACTGAGCAGCTGCAGGTCTCTGGGGAAAAGTCACACGCTCTGCCCTCATAGTCACAAGCTCAGTGGGCACCTGAGAGGGCGCTGTCTGGCTGCAATCCTCTAGGCTCGTACCTTGGATGAGAGCTCATATCCTTTCTCTCCCTTCAGACTGTACACACCCTCTCCACCCCTTGCCCTCATGTTACTGTGCAACCAGCAGCTGTCAGACGGCCTCTCACACCATCCCAGCAGCACATCTAGCCTGGTGTACACCCGCATCCAGCTTCTTCTGTTCCGGTGGAGGAAACTACTCCCCCAACCACAGTCCAAACTCTCCACTTGTGCCTTGGATCCCATCCCTTCCCTGTTGCTAATGGGTTTTTCCCATCATCCCATTTCCTGCATCAGCAATTTCTCCTTCTCTGATGGATCATTTCACTGCATGAAAACACGTTCTACTCTCACTCATCTTTTGAAAAGAACATCACTGGATCGCAGAAGGCCCTCCAACTCAGCTTCCCAAACTCCAAAGAGAAGACTACACTTGCTGCTCCTTCCTCCTCACCTTACCTTTAACCCACTCAAATCCAGCTTTTGTCCTCCCTGCTGCACTCCTTGACTCCCTGTTAAAGCCAAAATGGCATCACATTGCTTCATTCAGTGTCCTTGTCTCAGACTTCATCTCCCCTAACCCCTCATAGACATGAGACACAAGGGACTACTCTCTCCTTTGTGCACTTTCTACTTGCCTTTTAGGAAATCACACACCCCTGCCTGCCCTCCTGCCTCCCTGGCACTCATTTTCAATTTCCTTTTTGCTGACTCCTTCTCTACCCAGCTTCTTAACTTTGGAGTGTCTTGTGACTCCAAGCACTTTTCTTTTTCTCTCTCCAGGTGACCCCCTTCCTTCTAAAACTTAAAATACCATCTATATGCCTTTTGTGTGGACCAATCCCCATGCATCCAACCTGGAAGCTCTACAAAGAAGTCTGCATCTCAAAGTTAATATGTCCAGTGCTGAACCTTTGATTTTCTCTTGCTCAAACCAGTAACTGGTACTAAGACCATCAAGTTCTCAAACCAAAAACCCAGGAGTTGAGTTGTGTGTGTGTGTGCATGTTTGCAGTGTATGTCTGATTGCATATGAATCTTACCTCTCCTTCACCTTAGTAGAGTCTACCTTTAAAACCTATTTTATTTTTAAATAGTGAAACTATTCAAACATTTTACAGCTACATTTATACCATATACAAATCTAAATTTCATTTAAAAGTATCAACTGATAGTGGTGTTTGATTCACATTAGCAATCACTACATACATGATCAAAGAGACTGCTTTCTTGAACTTTATTACAAAATTATTTTTATTGAGTTAACTATTCAAGTTTCAGAATGCTTTAATTTTTTCCCTAGGTATACTCCTTTCTTCAGGGCTCCTAAAGCTTCAAACAGTTGCTCCTTCCTATCTTTAAATTCAGTCCTGTCTCAGTTTAATTCAACATTTATTAACAGACATTGATTTCAATCTTTTTCTTCTTAGCTATAATTATGATATACAGGGAAATAAAAGCCATAAAAGAAGCCTAATACTTACCAAGTGTTTTTTATTTGGGGCCATGATTAGTACTGAATTTCAGTCTTCAGGAAAGATCTGGGAAGGTGAGGACTATGACCTCATCTCCATATAGAGACTAAGAAGCCTGCTGTAAGTGGGCTCCGAGTGATGTTAAGTCACTTGGTTAACTAGTGATTGAGACAGACCTCTCCACTGGAAAGGTGGTTTTTCCTTGATAATGGTTAGGTCATTTGTGGGCTGAAATATTGGCACCATGTGAATACCCCATTACTCCACAATCTTCTAAGAGCTTTACATCCATAATGTCAAAAGCCCTGGTCTGCATCAGGTTACTCTCACGCAGCCAATCCACACAGTTCCTATAACACTTAACTGTAAAACTGTACTTATATTCAGTATTCAGAAGGCATCTAAAGTTGTATGGCACTTAACTTTAAAAACTTTAAAGGCCTGTTCAGCAGTCATTTGTTAACAGTAAAACTGTAATTTTATTAGCAGGAGCTTGTTCAGCTGGTAAAGAATCTGCCTGCAATGCAGGAGACCTGGGTTCGATCCCTGGTTTGGGAAGATCCCCTGGAGAAGGGGATTCCATGGATGAAAGAGCCTGGTAGGCTATAGTCCATGGGCTCGCAAAGAGTCAGACCCGACTGAACAACTTCACTGGTTCCTGGAGAAGGGAAAGGACACCCACTCCAGTATTCTGGCCTGGAAAACTCCATGGCCTGTACAGTCCATGGAATCACAAAAAGCTGGACACGACTGAGAGACTTTCATTTCACTTCGCTTCTGAATCTGTAGTTCAGTGGTTCCCAACTTTGGCTGCTTCTCAGAAACACCTGGGGCTTCCCTGGTGGCTCAGATGGTAAAGAATCTGCCGCAATGCAGACCTGGGTTCTACCCCTGGGTTAAGAAGATCCCCTGGAGAAGGGGATAGCTTACCCACTCCAGTATTCTGGCCTAGGGAATTCCAGGGATGGAGGAACCTGGCAGGCCACAGCCCGTGGGGTCACCAAGTGTTGGATACGACTGAGTGACTTTCACAGAAGCACCTGAGGCTGCTTGACCAGTCCCCGCGCAGTCTCTGGGACAGTAGCCATGTGTGGGTAGTTTTCAAAAGTCCACAGGTGATTCCCCTGGGCAAGTGAGGATGCAAATCACTGCTCTCAATCATCATAACGGCAATTCTTACCATTTCAAAAGGCTTCCCAGGTGGTGCTAGTAACAAAGAACCTGCCTGCCAAGCAGGAGACATAAGGGATGCAGGTTTGATCCCTGGGTTGAGAAGATCCCCTGGAGGAAAGCACAGCAACCTACTCCAGTATTCTTCCCTGGAGAATCCCATAGACAGAGGAGCCTGGTGGGCTACAGTTCATAGGGTTGCAAAGACTGGGACATGACTGAAGTGACTTAGCATGCGAACACATGCACACCATTTCAAATTCAGAGAGGTGGAGTTTTGGTGAGTCAATAAGCTGACTTTACAGTTTTCTGAAAATGTGAAGAAAGTGCAACACTGTCAGTTTTCACTAGAAAACTAGTGCTCTTGATACTCATGCCTCCTCAAGAAGAATCAAACATCACAGATGTAAGCCACACTGTATGATTTCTGGGAAATCAGGTCCACAATAGGGTATATTTTCTGCCCAGTTCTCAAAGCGATCACACTAATATTGTATAAGTGAATAAGAAGGCCCAAGACCTGGAATCTATGACTAAGAAATAAAGCTGATTAGTTTGTGGAGGGAGCAGAGACAGCTCTAATTTGGCCTACAGGGTCTAAAACTGGCCTTAAGTAAATTTCCCTCAGAGAAGAAACCGACATCATCATGAAACACTAATGATACTCAGTTCAAACATATCCCTATACCATTTTTTTTTTAAACCGGAAATTTATTCCATTTTCCAAACTACAAATGTAAAAGTTTCAAATAAAAGCCCAAGCATTAGTCATGCCCATCTTTCTGGCCAATGTCAAACAAATATCTTTACAATAGTTTGGCATTTCAAAACCACACCACAAGGGTATGTCAACTAGAATTATGTAAGATTCACTCCTTTAACTAGTCCTGTGTTCTGCAGGTCCAGCAGGGCAGACTCTCGCCCAGCCAGCAGGTCAGGTGCAAGAGTCAACACTCCACACCCCCAACTTCCTAATGAACGTCCCTGAGGCTGGGATGTGAGGCTGAGGCGAGAGGTGGGAGCAGATAAGGGCAAAGGCAGCGAAGTCTAGTTTGTTATAATAATGACAGTGACACTCATGACAGTGCGGCTGCTCAAGTGTGAACTCTTTCAGCCTCAGCAAGATTAAAAACCCAGAGTCTATCTGTGGGTCTGAGTGCACAGCAGCTGGAAAGTGAGAGTGCCCTGGATCCCTCTCCGCTTCTGTGCTCACAGCGCCCCACCTTAGTGGCGCCATCACGAAGAGGAGTGGTGGGGAGACACTGGATCCAAGGGTTCGGAGCCGCAGGGATGCTGGGAGGGCCCTGGAGCAGCAGAGGAAGGCCCTGGGTGCGGAGTGAAAATGCAGAAGAACCTCACAGGTGCTCTGACAAGCAGCTGTCAGAAGTCTCCAGGCCAAACCACAGGTACCAAGCCCTGAGCAAGGGAAGCTGACCCCTGAACACAGTCAGAGTGAGGACTAAAAACACTTAATCCCTCCATCCAAGAAAAGTCGCTGTCTCTTCGGCCTCCATGACTAAGAAGGAGGCCCAGTGTATTACTGGATTCTCGGCACTGGAAAAAGAAATGCCCAGCTTCCTTGCTAAATGTGTGCCTTTCCATCAGAGAATGACGCACACACAGGTGCGGGGCTTGCTCCTGGTGTCTCAGTTTTGCAGGAAGGGCAGCAATTGTTCTGTGGGGAATCTCTCTCATTTCACCACCTGAAGCAAAGTTGCAACAGGGCAACAGGGCCTCCATTAAGAGGCTCCCCTAATGCCTGAGGGAGCTCTCCTAAGTGCCACCAGTGCTGTGTAACAGAATACTGCCACTGTTAGACTCAGCACCCACTCTGCACAGCCACCAGTGGCGGCCCTGCTCGGCGGGCAGAACGCAAAGCCGCTCTCACTGCAATAGGATGAGGCCAACCTGCATTAATGCCCTCAACCATGTCCCTGAGGAAGAAGCTAGAATCCTATTTCAGTCTAGTATTAATGTCTATTATAACCCACTCAAAGCAGCTTAAAGCAACCTCTAATCTTTGTTGTCATCACCAACAACCACAGGAAGACGTGATGGAGAAAAGCCACGCCCACTGCACGAGGCCACGCCCGCTGCACGAGAGGCCACGCCCTTCCGCCTGCAACCCAGAGGGGCACAGGGGCTTCAGCTAGGTTTTGCGCCCTCATTCCACTGGCGTGGGTAGGGTCAGACTGCATAATAATAGGGTATTATATTTACGATTTTTAAAAGAGTTCTTAGCTTTTATAGACACATACCAAAATATAATAAAATGACACACTTGGTATTTGTTTCAAAACAATTGATAAAACAAGCTATAATTTGATGGTCATTATAGGTGTGTGATACGTACATGGGGGTTTACTGTACTATTTTCTGTATTTGTATGTATATTTGAAAGTTTCTGTAATAAAAAGTGAAAAAAAATTTGAGTTCTTGTACAAAAATTTGGAACAAAGTGGCTCATACCATTATGATTTTCATATGATTTATACATATCACAAGCAAAGTAATATGCTGCCTTAAAATACTACTGTAATAAGGAAAAAATGAAAATGGATGAATTTCTAAAATTTCCACACATCCACTAGTAGCTACAATTTCCAAATTCAATACATCACTCCCAAGATAAGTTAAAAGGCAAACATTTTAAAAGGAGTACCTTAAAAACATACATTTTGCAAGGGATCACCTGCAAGTTTAAGAATTAATTCTAAGTTCTTTGCATCCTCAGAATTCATAAAGTCTCAAAAATCCTGTGGATCAGTCCCTTTTCCAGCTCACTTTCCAACCTTCTGCGGTATGAAACCTGTACATCATCCAGTGACACCTCCAAGTAACAGCTGGGTTGCCATGCTACGCTTTTTGGCTGAAGACCCAGATTCCTGTCCAAACACCTTGTGCCACCGTGGCTGCTTTTCAGCAAGTTCTGCAAAATACAGTAACTCAAAATTTCCCTCAAAGTTTAGGTGAGCTGGTCTCACAATGACCCCGCAGGGGAGCCAAGGGTGGGACACAGAGTGGCAGGGGCCCTGCCTTCGGCACAAGCTGGCTTCCAGCATGCGGGACTGAGGTTTAAACGTATTTTAAGTCCACCTATGCTCTGCATCCCCACTGCCATCAGGCTGGTCCATACCACCATCCCTGGGTGAGGCTGGTCCACACAGTGACCTTGAGCCTCTGGTCACGGCCTGCACTGCTCACACCCCGGCTCCTCACCAGCCACAGGCCTGACCATCTGCTTCCTGCCCTTTGTTTACACTGCTCCCCCTTCTATTTCGCTGTGCCTAACCCTGGCCACCTGACTCTTCCTCAATACACTAAGCTCTTTCCAGTGTGGGGCGTGTGCGAATGCTACCTCCGTTCCTGTAACAGTCCTCACCTGCTCTTCGCCCAGCCAGGCCCTGCGGTCCTGCAGACCCCATCTGCAGTGACCCCTCAGAGCCAGCTCTCCTAGTACCCATCTAACAGAGGCCTGCACTCCCAGTCAAGCCCTGACTTAGTAAGGGTTTGTTTTCTGTTTTGTTTTGTGATTCTTTACATCCCTAATTTTTTCATCATCTGTCTTACTGTAAGTCACCCTAGGAGACCACAGGGGTCACATTTATCATTTTGACTGCTGAACATCTAGCACCGAGAATAGTATCTGCATAAAATCAATGCTCACTGATTTTAAAGAATGAAAATTTATAGAATGAAACATCAGAGGTGAGCTGCTTTTAGAATAAACCATGTATTTCCTATAGACACTATCAGATCACTTATTCCTAAAATGTAACATGATTTGATCCTATTTCAGCAGGGATATTCCTTATGCTTATATATATCAACATAAAATCAATTACAAATACCACAGTTCATTCCAAATGAAAACTATGAACAAGGTATTATTGCTTGACCTTATCTGCCTCACCAAGCATTATACAATTTACCATTATGGCCAAGGGTTACCCCAGCAGTATTCTGTTAAGCAGCTAAAGACACCATAGGTCTTACTCTCCACACAGACAGATACTTTAGCAATTCCTTCATGAACTCTAAATTCAAGAAAAAGGTTCTCCTCTACCTTCTCAATAATTTATAAGGAAGGAGGTATGGTAAATGGTGTTCAATACCATATTTAGTAAAGAGAAAAGAGGTGACGGTGCTAAAGTTAGAGGAGAGCTCTCTGTAACCCACCTGAATCTGGATACTAAACCCTAGCATCCTAACAACCAGCTGAAACACATAGGGTCACAAAACCAGAAATACAACATGGGCCAAACAGGGGCATGTGTCATTTGGGAAATCAGAAGTGAATACGAAAAGAAATGTAGACTTTCAAGGTCTATGGGTTGTTAAGTTGAGACTATCTGTTCTATTAGTAACACTGTCATTAAAAAAACAAGTTACGTTAGAGAAGCTGGGGATTTCCAGCCAGTCAGAGGCTCAACAGACTGCCACTTCTTCTCTAAGATATAGTTCTGCAGGTCTTCGTAGACTCCTGGGCCACGGTAACGGCGGAATATCCCATCTTTTGCACTATAAATTATAAAAACAAAAAATAAACCAATTAAAATAACAAGTGTTACAGATAATAAAAACGAAAATAAGTACTGGTGTTACATGTGAACTCCACTCTGAATTTTAACTTCACTCAAAATGAAAAACAAAAAGAAATATTATAGTTAAGCATAAATAAGAAAGCATACACAAATACTTATTACAAATGAGAAATTCCAAAGCAGAGAAAATTAAACATTCTATTTTATCACTGCACAATTTGCGACTGTAAGCAAAGTCCTTGGCAATGGCTAATCTGTCAAGTTACTTTTTATTATTTTTGCTACAAATTATTTCAATTTTTCTCTTACATCAGCAAAACTGCAGTTGTTATCAAGTTTTAAAAAACTCTATCCACATTTCCAAATTGATATCATCCAAGTCCCTCTCCTGAAAACTGGGTCTCCCTGGTGGCTCAGTGGTAAAGAATACGCCTGCCAAGGCAGGAGACCTGGATTTGATCCCTAGGCTGGGAAGATCCCCTGGAGAAGGAAATGGCAACCCACCCTAGTGTTCTTGCCTGGAGAATTCCATGGACAGAGGAGGCTGGCAGGCTATAGTCCATGGGGTTGCAAAAGAGTCAGACACGACTTAGCGACTCAACAACAAATGCCTTCGGTCTTCCCTCCCTCTCACCTTCTGTCTAGCTAAGTTTCCTAAGGGAGGAGTCGACACTTTTTCCTCATATTAACTCATTGACTGCTCCTGCCAGCAGGGCCCCTGTTCCCACGACTGCATGGAAGCTGCTCATGCTGGGGCTCCGATGGCTCTTCGGTGCGGTGTCCCCGGAGCGCTCCTCCGCCATTTCCCCTGTGTGTGTCCTGGAGACTGTCCCTCCCTCCTTTCCCTGGGCTATCCTGACATGAGGTCTCCAGTCCTTCTCAGCCCCATGCGCCCTGTGCTCCTTCGCAGATGTCCTAACAGGGGTCACTGATCCTTAGCGTGCTTCTCTTCCCATCGCGTCTATTCTCTTATCGTATATATTTCAACTGTTATCTAATCCCTGGTATGTACCTCCAGTCTAGACCTTTCTTATGATCCTGAAATTAAACTATCACCTAAACTTCTCATTTGGAATTAGCATAAACCCTTCATACTATCTTTTCCATTCTGGTCTCTATCTTCCAAACTGCACTTTATTCTAACAACTTCTCAATAGCTTTGCTAGTTAAACAGGCCTATCAGTAAGTCACCAGAGGCTCTCCCTTTCTTACGGCTAATCAGTCACCAATGATCCCACCTCCTCAGCATCTCTGGAAACCATCCCTGCCTGTCTCCTTCCCCCTCACTACCTGAACCTCTCGAGCACCATCACCTGGGATGATCCAACTGTACCTCTCAGGCCAGCCACAGAGAACTAGATCTCAGAAGGCATCTCCTTTTCTCCTAGGCTTTTCCATGATACATCCTCTACTTGGAAAGATCTTGTCTACCTTACCTGCTTCACATACTCCTGTTATCTATTAAGAATCACCCCACCACTCATATCATCAGGAAAACCCTGTCTGCTGCTTGAAATTAGACTCTCTGTGGCACCTGGGCACCCCTCTCTTCTTATCACTATCGTTCAGTGGAGACCAGTCTTCCTCCCCTCACATGCTAAGCTGAACAAATGAAGGTTATGGACAAGAACTAAAGAATCCCGGGACACACTTTTTACACACACACCTACTAATTTCTAATCATTACAAGACCAGAAAATTATTTGAACTTACTGGAAAAATGCTGGGAGGGTGGTAACAAAGAAGCGGCCACTCAAACCTACAAAAAGCAGAAACAGAAAAGTTATAAGCCAAACTCAGACTAACCCAAGCACCTAACTCAGGCTGTAAGGGCAAGCAGCCTTGATCTTGTTATTACAACCACATAAGTAAAATCCCTCCCATTACTGAATCACATTTACTATTTTTAAAAAAATTTTAACCATCTTTATTTACCTAATGCTTTCCAGTCACTGACATAAAACTTGCTTATCTTCGATGTGTTAAACTGGAGTTTTCCAGCTTATATGATACTAAGGACTGTATGGTGGCTGAAAGGATAAGTTGTAAAGACACACAACCTGGTTAAACAACTAAATTCTCCACTTACTAACGTTGTGTCCTTAGATAAGTGACTTAATCTTTCTGATTATCAGTTACCTCATATATAAAATGGGGATATAAAATCCTAACTGAACTGTTCTGAAGTTATCTTAGATCACTATATTAAATTATTCAACAAATTATACATATTATTAAATCAGCCATATATTTAAAAATAACAATGAATATGACATAATAAAATCATGTATAATCTTTGCACATTCATAAACTGCAAGTACAGTCAAGAAATTCCATGTACAATTCAGCTCAGTTCAGTTGCTCAGTTGTGTCTGACTCTTCGTGATCACATGGACTGCAGCATTCCAGACTGCCCTGTCCATCACCAACTTCTGGAGCTTGCTCAAACTCATGTCCATTGAGTCAGTGATGCCATTCAACCATCTCACCCTCTGTCGTCCCTTCTCCTCCTGCCTTCAATCTTTCCCAGCATCCAATAGTCAGTTCTTCACATCAGGTGACCAAAGTATTGCAGTTTCAGCTTCAAAATCAGTCCTTCCAATGAATATTCAGGACTAATTTCTTTCAGGATTGACTGGTTGGCTATCCTTGGAGTCCAAGGGGCTCTCAAGAGTCTTCTCCAACACCCCAGTTCAAAAGTATCAATTCCTGGCACTCAGCTTTCTTTATGGTCCAATTCTCACATCGATTCATGACTACTGCAAAACCACAGCCTTGACTAGATGGACCTTTATCAGCAAAGTAATGTCTCTGCTTTTTTTTTTTTTTTAACTTCACAACATTTCAGTGGGTTTTGTCATACATTGACATGAATCAGCCATGGAGTTACATGTATGTGTCTCTGCTTTTTAATATGCTGTCTAGGTTGGTCATAGCTTTTCTTCCAAGGAAAAAGCGTCTTTTAATTTCATGGCTGCAGTCACCATCTGCAGTGATTTTGGAGCCCAAGAAAATAAATTCTGTCACTGTTTCCATTGTTTCCCCATCTACTTGCCATGAAGTGAAGGGATCAGATGCCATGATCTTCATTTTTTGGATGTTAAGTTTTAAGCCAGCTTTTTCACTCTTCTCTTTCACTTTTGTCAAGAGGCACTATAGTTTCTCTTTGGTTTCTGCCATAAGGGTGGTGTCATTTGTATATCTGAGGTTATTGATATTTCTACTGGCAATCTTGTTTCCAGTTTGTGCTTCATCAAGCCCAGCAGTTTGCACAACGTACTCTGCATAGAAGTTAAAGAAGCAGGATGACAATATACAGCCTTAACGTACTCCTTTCTCGATTTGGAACCAGTCTGTTGTTCCATGTCGAGTTCTCATTGTTGCTTCTTGACCTGCATACAGATTTCTCAGAAGGCAGGTAAGGTGGTCTGGTATTCTCATCTCTTTAAGAATTTTCCACAGTTTGCTGTGATCCACACAGTCAAAGGCTTTGGCATAGTCAATAAAGCAGAAGCAGGTGTTTTTCTGGACCTCTCTTGCTTTTTCAATGATCCATTGGATGTTGGCAATTTGATCTCTGGCTCCTCTGCCATTTCTCAATCCAGCTTGAACACGAGCAAGTTCTCAGTTCACATACTGTTGACCTCACTTAGAGAATTTTGAGCATTACTTTGCTAGCGTGTGAGATAAGTGCAATTGTGTGGTAGTTTGAGCATTCCCTGACATTGTCTTTCTTTGGGATTGGAATGAAAACTAACCTTTTCCAGTCCTGTGGCCACTGCTGAGTTTTCCAAGTTTGCTGGTATATGAGTGCAGCACTTTCACAGCATTATCTTTTAGGATTTGAAATCGCTCTGCTGGAATTCCATCACCTCCACTAGCTTTGTTCATAGTGATGCTTCCTAAGGCCTACTTTACTTCATATTTCAGGATATCTGACTCTAGGTGAGTGATCACACCATCATGGTTATCTGGGTCATGAAGATCTTTTTTGTATAGTTCTTCTGTGTATTCTTGCCCTCTCTTCTTAATATCTTCTGCTTCTGTTAGGTCCATACCATTTCTGTCCTTTATTGAGCCCATGAAACGTTTTTTTTGGCATGAAAAACGTTCCCTTGGTATGTTTAATCTTCTTGAAGAGATCTCTAGTCTTTCCCATTCTATTGTTTTCCTCTATTTCTGTGCATTGATCACTTAGGAAGGCTTTCTTATCTCTCCTTGCTATTTCTGGAACTCTGCATTCAAATGGGTATATCTTTCCTTGTCTCCTTTGCCTTTCACTTCTCTTCTTTTCTCAGCTAATTGTAAGGCCTCCTCACATAATCATTTTGCCTTTTTGCATTTCTTTTCTTGGGGTGGTCTTGATCACTGCCTCCTGTACAATGTCACAAACCTCCATCCATAGTTCTTCAGGCATTCTGGCTATCAAATCTAATCCCTTGAATCTACTTCTCACTTCCACTGTATAATTTTAAAGGATTTGATTTAGGTCATACCTGAATGGTCTAGTGGTTTCCCCCACTTTCTTCAATTTAAGTCTGAATTTTGCAATAAGGGGGCTTCCCTGATAGCTCAGCTCGTAAAGACTCCACCTGGGAGACCTGGGTTCGATCCCTGGGTTTGGAAAATCCCCTGGAGAAGGGAAAGTCTACCCACTCCAGTATTCTGCCCTGGAGAATTCCATGGACTGTATAGTCCATGCGGTTGCAGAGAGTCGGACACAACTGAGCTACTTTTCCTTTCATACTAAGGAGTTCATGATCTGAGCCACAGTCAGCTCCCAGTCTTGTTTTTGCTGACTATGGAGCTTCTCCATCTTCGGCTACAAAGAATATAACCAACCTGATTTCAGTATTGACCATCTGGTGATGTCCATGTGTAGAGTCATCTCTTGTGTTATTGGAAGATGGAGTTTGCTATGAACAATGTATTCTCTTGGCAAAACTCTGTTATTTTTTGCCCTGCTTCATTCTGTACTCCAAGGTCAAACTTGCCAGTTACTTCAGGTATTGCTTGACTTCCTAGTTTTGCATTCCAGTCCCCTATGATGAAAAGGGCATGTTTTTTGGTGTTAGTTCTAAAAGGTCTTGTAAGTCCTCATAGAACCAATCAACCTCAGCTTCTTCAGCATTAGTGGTTGGGGCATAGACCTGGATTACTGTGATACTGAATGGTTTGCCTTGGAAACAAATAGAGATCATTCTGTCAGTTTTGAGACTGCACCCAAGCACTGCATTTAGGACTTTTTGTTGACCATGAGGACTACTCCATTTCTTCTAAAGGATTCTTGCCCATAGTATAGATATAATGGTCATCTGAATTAAATTTACCCATTCTAGTCTGTTTTAGTTCACTGGTTCCTAAAATGCCAATTCTCACTCTTGCCATCTCCTGTTTTGACCACTTCAAATTACCTTGACCCATGGACCTAACATTCCAGGTTCCTATGCAATATTGCTCTTTACAACATCGGACTTTATTTCCATCACCAGTCACATCCACAACTGGGTGTTCTTTTCACTTTGATTCCATCTCTTCATTCCTTCTGGAGTTATTTCTCCACCCTTCTCCAGTAGCATATTGGCACTTGCTAACCAGGGGAGTTCATCTTTCAGTGTCATGTCTTCTTGCCTTTTCATGCTGTTCCTGGGGTTCTCAAGGTAAGAATACTGAAGTGGTTTGCCATTCCCTTCTCCAGTGGACCATGTTTTGTCAGAACTCTCCACCATGACCCATCCGTACTGGGTGGCCCTACATGGCATGACTCATAGTTTCATTGAGTTGACAAGGCTGTGGTCCATGTGATCAGTTTGGTTAGTTTTCTGTGATTGTGGTTTTCGTTCTGTCTGCCTTCTGGTGGATAAGGATAAGAGGCTCATGGAAGCTTCCCGATGAGAGGGACTGACTGTGGGGGAAACTGGGTCATGTTCTGATGGGCAGTGCCATGCTCAATAAACCTTTAATCCAATTTTCTTTTGACGGGCTGTGTTCCCTCCTGGTTGTTTGGCTTGGGCCAAACTATGGTAAGGGCAATGAAGATAATGGCAACCTCCTTCAAAGGATTTGTGCAGAAACTGTTGTATTCAGTGCTCCTGACCCTGCAGCAGGCCACTGTCGACCCCCACCTCCACTAGAGACTCCTGGGCACTCACAGGCAAGTCTGGCTCAGTCTCTAGTGGGGACACTGCTCCTTTCTCCTGGCTGCTGGTACACAAAAGGTTTTCTTTGTGCCTTCCAAGAGTCTGTTTCCCCAGGCCTGTGGAAGTTCTGAATCAAATCCCACTGGCCTCCAAAGTCAAATTCACTGGGGGTTCTCAGTCTCTTTGCCAGATCCCCAGGTTGGGAAAATCTGTTGTGGGTCCTAGAACTTTCTTAACAGTCTGAGAATTTCTTTGGTGTAATTGTTCTACAGTCCATGGGCCATCTGCTTGGTGGCTCTATGATTGGGATAATAGTGACCTCCTCCAAGACAGCTTATGCCACAGGCTGCATGACCCAAGTCTGCTACAGTCAGAGACCCTGTCCCTGTGGCAGGCTACAGATGACCCATGCTTCTGCAAGAGACACTCAAACACTCAAAAGCAGGTCTGGCTCAGGCTCTGTGGGGTCTCTGGATCCTGGTGTGCACAAGGTTTTGTTTGAGCTATGTTTTGTCTCTGTACATTAAACAAATTTTTTTTTTTCAATTTGTCTCAGTAAACCTTTACTGAACACAACTTACACATCAATTGTTATGCCAGATACATGTAAAGACAAAGA